TCGAGCGCCAGATTCTGATCTTGAACCTAACATAAACAAAAGGTGGCAAGAAACGGGTTTGTTTGTTAAAATTTATAAGTGGTATCTTTTACTGTGATAATGTTATATATAGACTATATGATGATCAGTAATATTTTGAATTATATTTTCAGTTTGTTTGTTACTGAATATTAAACAAATCTTCTAAAGGTGCTCCGAATTCAGCAGAATAAGTTACTCAGTTTTGGAGCTTAATACAGAGATGTCCAGGGTGTGAAATGAAAAAAATCTAATCGGACTTTGCTTCGCCATGCTCACAACGGATTTCCATTTCACGCCAAGGATAACTCCACATTAGGTCCCAAACTAACTTTGTACCTAATTGAATACTCTCCGTACGATGAAACTGGAGGGGATTATAGATTTCCTCTTGGTTCGTCCGTCCCTCTGCGGAACTGTCTATCAGTCTATTTGAAACATCCCAGGAAACTTCAAATGTAAGACACCACAGAGCCTGCCATATCTGTTTCATATTTGGATATAGACTATAGACGATCAGGGCCAACTAACAACTAAACTGTGTGACAAATGAGATGACTTCAACTCTTCCATCGTCAACTTTCTACAGTTTCTACAGATCTGAAAAGAAAAGGACTTGGGGGAATTGACCATCACCCTCCTATCTCAGAGAAAGCCCTCCAAAAATTATACAGCGTCGACACTTCAGTAGTTGATATTAATACTTTATATGGTTTACAGAGAAAGGTTTGGTTTGAATTAACTCTTTACCTCTGCAGAAGAGGGAGAGAAAATTTGAGATCCATGACAAGAGACACATTTAAGATAGCCAGATGTGATGTTGGTTGACAGTATGTTTATCACAGAGCGGATGATGCAGGGTGTGTTACAGATGGTGGAATGTACGAATTACCAGGTAATGAAGAATTAATATTAATTATTTAAACAATTTTGTATAATAAGAAGTCTGTAATATTTTATAGAATATAATTGCATTTTTCTTCTCAACTGTTCTTTCAAGGAAACAAGAACTGTCCTGTGTTTTCATTCCAAAACTATTTATACAAGTTAAATCCCAATACGAATGATCTGTGGCAGAGACCCTGGGATTCATTCGTGTCTGATGATGATGAAGAAATCTTCAAATTTCCCTCACTATCATGCAATAAATGTATAATATCCCACTTTCACCTGTATATGGTTTTTACATTTCCCAGCTTATTCGATACTCAAGAGTATGTTCCGGGTGATCACTTTTAAAATCGAGACACTCTATAGAGAAATAAGTTGATGTTACAGGGATTTCAAACACCTCGTTCAAAAGCACCATTCCGTAAATTTTATGGTCGTAATAATTACCTTGTCAGCAAATATAACCTATCATTTGGTGGTATTTTACCTGACTTGTTTCATAACAATTGTTAGGCATTTGTTTGTATACGGAATTGACTACGGAATGTTCCGTCCACTTTATCAATATATAGAGCTCATGGCAGGTGTGACTGGTGAACAGGGGGTGCTTACTTTTCCTAGGCACCTGAACCCACCCCTGGAATTCCAGGGATCCGTGTATTATGCCCTCTTCACAGAATTATGCATAGATTTTTAAAGATCTATCACTATTCGTTATCTTCACCTTTTTCATCTATTTCACTTTATTTTACATACAGTTTCTCTACTCAGGCCTTTCTACTCAGTCTTTCATATATTGATCTTTGTTTGTGAGTCTGCCGTGAATAGTTAAAGTTTGCATTTTGTTCCACTTCTATAATCATTGACAATTACGGCTTTTCTTGACTTTTTGAAAAGAAACAATATAACGCTTGTCGGTGGGGGACTAGTTTAGCTTGTCATACTCACATAATGTTTGTTAACTTTATGCCATGTAATCATTTTCATCTTGAAATTTAAAATCAATAAGAACATCTGTCACAAAAAGACCTCTATAGATTTTGAGGTCAGAAGGTCAAAGTTCAAGGTAATAAATTCATAAATTCCGTCTATGTGTAACACTTTTGTTTCCGGGCCATATCTCAAGAAGCTTTTGAGCCTTTGAGCTTTTGCAATGAAATTTTATACCATAACTCCCTATAGCCTCTCTCGCCCCTCTCGAAGTGTCCCACCCCTAGACAGAAAATGATAAATGTCCTACGGACCCGGTTTAACGATAGAATGCGTTCGTGTATTGTCAATGTAGCAGAAGAAAATACGGGAGATAACTCTAACTCAGTTCATTTACTTTGAAAAATCCTGAGAGTTCCGAATGTCAACACGTGTAACAGTTTGTGTAAATTTGAAACGAGTAAAAAACGTTGGTGAAAAAGTGTTGAATTCTTCCATAATATGGATTAAATTTTTAGATGAAAGGTATTTACAGTCTCAAAAAGGTTTGTTATGATTAATTTGACTGTTATTTTCAATGCAACTTTATTAATTTTCTCCAGAATCGTTTCGGAGCGATTCTGCAATTTTCTGCTACATTACGGGTATATGGGGGACATTCTAACTGTGGTGAGGGTCATCCCGAGACACAGTTAGATTATTCTAACTATGCGCCCCGTTTTTTATTTTATTTATTTATTGTATTAAAAGTCGCTTGGCACTATTTTTAGCACAGGGGCATGTGGAGTGTTATTACGTATAATACAGGTTGTCGGCGGACTTTATATTCTAATTACATATATTAGAACTGTTTAGTAAAGGCTAAATTAGACACCATGTATTGATTAAAATTTTGACAATATCGAACGTGAAAATAAACATTATATGTGACTTAATATTTGCATTTAATGTGGAGTATATTCAAGTGCCTCTGTGTTTTAGTGGTCTGATGCTCGCTTAGCAAGCGAGAGGCCTGGGTTCAATCTCCGGACGATTCTCTTTTTTTTTTTAAATGTTTTTTTTTTTCTTTTTTTTTGGATTTACTAAATGATACTATTCAACATGTGAAATGAAAAAGTTATGATGTCTGGCGTGTACAAACTCATAAAATCATTATTACAGTGTGATAAATATTCTGTATATATTAAAAAGAATCTTCTATGTACATGATGTACACATATTAAAGAATAAGCAATCAAATCTTTATATCCATATTGGCTTTTTTTAAATTTGCTTCAATATACATGTATACATTTGATAATTCTTCAAATACAGGGGGGCAGTGTGACCCCCCCCCCCCCCCCCCGAACAGCGCATGCGCTTCTTTTTTCCCTAAGCGGGGGACACAAATTCTCTGAATTAGCTTGTTAATTTCAGGTCCGTGAAGCGAATGAAATCATTGTAAAACAATATATAAACTAAATTTTGTCGTTTTGGGGTTGTATAAATAGCTTAGTATTTATTACTAAATAAATACCAAACCCATTACGCCATAACCATTGATCAAATATTTGCCGAGCGAGAACTAAACGTGACGAGAATTCATGTAAACAAATATATGAATTGGGAGTTTTAAAGCATATACCATGAATGACATGTGTGATATACAGAGAATTAAAGATTAAGAATCAGGTACGCTGTTTTATGCTATTTATGTTTTCTTATAATGGACACAGACAGTGTTTTGAAATCCAGTTCAGCCTTTTCCCTGTCGTTCTAACAACAAAGATGTAAAAATTAAACACTACGCCGAATATTTTAAAACATAATTTTTGTTTGTATCGAAAGCTTTTGTTTTACAGTACTTGGAAAATGCTGCTAGAATCGTGTGGCTAACATGAATTGATGACAATTCCTTGATCGTATGTACAAAATGTGACCATTTTGGTAAATTTTCATGCAAAACTTTGGAATATTTTTTTTTCTGTTTCGAGAGAGTAGGATTCTAGCAGTATTTTGCATGGCCCTGTGATGTTTTTACATAATTATTTTCACGAAAAGAAATAAATTATCCCTGGTGTAGTGTTGAACTTTTCACTTTTTCGTTATGGCATTTTTTTTTATTTAAAGACGCCACGTGATGACGTCGTAGTGGGAGGCTTCTTTTAGCCTTAGACTAGGTGATGTCTTTACAATGCTTAGAAATAGGAAATGTTTTATCTATTGGTTTTCCGATTAATCAATGTTACATTTCACGAAAAAGATCTAAATTCGCCGAAAAAATGATCTGGGTACTGCCTTAATATACCCTCGTTGTTCTGAAATGAATCTCCAGCTTACCCAAACAATTTAAATTGGAGATCAGGACAAACCCTTAGGTTGTACTATCCCTGTGTGTGGCAAGCATTAGCTTCAAATTTACAAAGTTACGAATTAAAAAGTAACGACTTTGAGAAGATTGCTCGAATAAGGTGATTTCCACATACCCCAACACTTTGTTTGCCTCAAGGATATAAATATGTTCAAACCAAACACAAAACACAAGAAAGGGCAAGATAGGCTAAATCCGTTATTTGACCCTTGCTTTTGGATGTCTCTATGAACTTTGCAAAAGCTTATCATTACAAACCTGTTGTCATCATTGTACAAAATAAGAATTGGTTCTAAGTTATGGGACACACAAAGGTCACAGGAAGGTCACAAAATATGTCAATTCCCAAATTTTCTCATTTTATGCAAATTTTCATTAATTTCAAAGCACATTTTGTTTCAGAAAACATAGAGCACAAATTTGCTTATCTACCAAATTTATCAATTTTATGCACTAGTATCAAAGGCATCCTGTGTATAAAAAATCTTAGATAGGCAAGCCTTTGCTATTTGTTTCCCGAAGTGAAAAGTATCTTAGACATAACGAAATTCCGCCAGAATTGAGGAAATTCGGTAAAGTGTCCCACTTTGGCACCCTCTTGTGGCTTCTATGTATCCTTGGAATCAAAATTAATGCTGGTTTTAAAAAAAGCGTCATTTAAAGTTCTTAACTGCAAACTATCACAATTTTATTTCTGTTTTGATTATTTGCATCAAACAAGGGGCAAATTAAACTGAGCTGTTACCCTACCTTGTCCTTTAATGATTCTAAAGATTCTTAGTTTAAAAAAATCAATTTTGTTTTTCTCATATTTTTTAGAGTGTTTGTCCATTCACTTTTCACATGTAGGTCGAGGTAAGAAGTCTTCAGGATCTGCTGCCAGATCCTCTACTGTGTAAGTACGCGTCGGTACACAGTCAACTCCCTCCATGTTTGAGAGTACGTTCAGGGGACCTTTGGGGTCATTGTAATAAATTCCAACGCTGTCACGAATTCCAAAACTTGGGTCTTTAGGAAAATAGTTGAAAGGCAGAAGGAAGAAGCTGACGTCACCGCCGACGGTTTGCATAATAGGTACCTCATCTGTATGTGGTATGTGTTGGATACCTAGGGTTACCCAAGCAACCAGGTCCTAAAAGAAAAAAAATCAAGTAAAATATGCTATCAAAACAATAAAGTTCGCAAAAGTAGTTTACATAAATTTTCATATCCCTTGTTATTGATCATTGAAAAGGTTACTTTCTTTAAGTCACCCGCGTGGCTCAGTGGTTAGAGCGTTTGCTCTAGAGTTGCTGAGTAAGGAGTTGATCCGTACGTCACGTGTTCGAATCCATAGTGTGACGTGGAGACCTGTCTTTTGGATGAGACCCTATAAATCAAGATCCCGTGTCGCTGTAGTTGTTTTCAAGAAAAAGATCCCTCTTTGCTCAAAGGCCGTAAAAGGTCTAAATTTGCAGCCCTCTACCGGGAAGAGTTGGCGTCATTATGAGTGGGAAATTTTAGGGACGTTAAACAGCAAACACGCTTCAATTCGATATTCAGATATATCGACAACATGCCGTAACCTTTAATTCGACATTTAGATATATCGGCAACGTTTTCTCAACAAACAATAGACATGTTTATTAACACGTTGCATCGTTATATACAAATGAACTCGAAATGAAAGACACTACAATGTGTGTCACATCTGTTACATATTTAGATGTTTAACTGACAATAGACGTCAATGGACGTAATGGACAACTATAGACTGAGCAATATGACAGTCGTGATGACTTCAACATTTCAAACGTCAACTTCCCGTATTTATGTAGCCATCTACCAACATGTCTTTTTACATCACTTCCCTACGATGGCCGACAGCGGCAGCCACTTTTGATTCTGAATATTGTCATTTTGTACACCTTTTTTGTCAATTTTCGTTGACAAATTACAACTAAACTGGTAATGCTATATGTCCATATACAGTTTTTACACTGACAATTTACACTGGAGAAAATCATTAAAATTCTTTCTTGTGATATGAAATGAAGATACATAAAACAGGTAACTTGAAGGTGATAAGCTTAAGGTTCTAGCAGAACAGCAAGGTCGGGGTGATTAGAGATTAGTATTGTCTGCTAGATATGTTTTCTCGACAGATTGTAGTAATTAATTCATAAAATTCCATGTTGGTGTACCTGCTGGTCACATCATAGGTAACCAGGATGAAATTTTCCAGGTCTATCAGAAATTTGATTTTGTTCATAATCGGACGTGTCTTTGATGTATGAATTTTGTTTTTTAAACAATGCGCACGAGGAAATGATCACATTAGTTACATGTACCTATATTTTCATTCCCGTGCCACATTGAAAAACAATTGGCCGACTAGGTGAAAGTCTTGAGAGGTTGCGTTGGCCTTTAAAAGTGTTTCAAGCATTTAGTTATTAATTTTATGTATTTAGAGTGCAAATACAGACCCCCACATTTAAGGTTGTCATTTTATTCTTGCTTAAAAACGGGTATATTTCCGTATCTAAAGTTTTGCTTTTGATACATTCCATAAACTTAAGATTGGATGCTCACATGTAGAACTACTAAATCCTGTTTTTCTACCTCTACATAATAGGTAGAATCGAGTTGTCTCATACACTTTGAGGATCGAGATATATCCATTATATTCATGTATATCCATTACAACAAACGTATTACTTTTATTCGCCTTTTTAATTACTCCCAAGAATATCTTTTTAATGATACAACAAGGTGACAGAATGACGATTTACTTCTAATCTAGGATTAACTGGGTTACGATATCTCAGACTAATTGAGGATGAAAATCATTAAAATGCTCCTTATCCCTTTCAAGCCACCTGTTTTATGTATCTTAATTTCATATCACACGAAAGAATTTTAATGTTTTTCGCTGGTGTAAATTGTCAGTGTAAAAACTGTACATGTACATATAGCATTACCAGTTTAGTTGTAATATGTCAACGAAAATTGACAAAAACGCTGTACAAAATGACAATATTCTTAATCAGAAAGTGGCGGCCGCTGTAGGCCATCGTACTCCCCAGACCCGTATGCAAATAAATGAGAGTAGAAAAAAAGCTGCAGGAGATAAAAAACGAATCTGGAGAAGAAAATATAAAAACAAAGATAGCAGGAAATAAGTTAGTATTTCCAAATGGAAGCGTGTACCGTGACAAGATGCTACCACCATGAGCTTAGGATCTGTTCATGCTGGACAAAGAATAAATTGAAAAACTAGAAGAATATAATCTTAACAATTCTGACAGTGTTACAGAAGATGGGAATATCTTCACTTCACTCATCTCCGAAACACATAAATAGGCACAGGTCAGGAACGTATACAAAATGTTTTACGTAATTTGGTATCTATGTCTTCCAACTGATTCCGTACACAAGAGCATTTTCTGAGTCAATTTTCTGGTCAATTTTTAAACTGTGGCAGGCTATTCAAAAATATGTTGATTTTACAGGGCATACAATAATCTCGTTTAAAATCAGCATTTTGTAATTTCTGTGGTAGATATAATAACCTATTGAAATTCGGTGAATTTTGATGGAACTATTTCATTAAATTGTTTAGAACTTAATTAGCATCGGTTTTGACAGATCTTCACTGACTAGGGATTACTTTGTTTACATGAGGACTAAGGGCACGATTCGCAGTACTTACATGATAAATGACTTTTTGATCTTTCTTTCTTGAAAAATGAGGAATTACATGTAATAGCAGTCGAGAAAGAATATCCCCCTCTCTCTGAACAAAACTCCTTCGGGGAATTCTTGTTTAATGCATAAAAAAGGAGGGAAATAAGGCTAGTTTTCCAATTAAAGAGAATGCAATTTGATGTTTTACCTCTTGCAGAATGGGTTCATCTCCTATAAAACTTTCAAAATTTACCACCCTGTCTTCTCCATCAAAGGTAGCGTATTTAGAGCTACTATATTGTTCAGTTTCTTTTCTCTTTGTGACTGCCAGTTGATACCTCAACCATGATGCTCCTGGCTCGTTCCCTACTCCTTCTCTAAACAGATTCTTGGACATTCCTCTTAATAAAAGTCGATAGGCTTTAGGATTCCCAAATTTATCTCTATTTTCTTCATTGTAGAACACATGATATCGGGGTTGGCTAAAATTATATCTAAAAGCGGCTTCTCTCTCCGTGGCATAATCTACTTTAACTATTTTAGTTTGGTACCATTTTTCGGGATACCTTCCCCTTAGGAATTGGTTTTGAACCCTTTCTTCACGTATATCGTATGTGGAGTAGCTGTTCTTTGTGCCTCCGATGTCAAGATCAACCTTAAAATTAAACATATGATGATGAAGCAAGCCAATGGCTTGTTTGTTTATCTGGAAGCCATATTTGCAGGTGTTTTGGACGTAGGACAGCAAATCAATACCTGATGTCGTTACCTTTGTTTCCATTGCACCATTGTGGTAGAACATAAAGTCATAAATATAGTCATAGTTTACAAGAGTGGCTATCATTCGGAGAACAAGTACGGTATTAGGTACACCTTCGTAATAGCCAGATGGATAGTCGTCTGCTACATAATGTCGTCTGAGCGGGATACCAGTATTGTGTTCGAACACGCATATAGAGTTATTTTTTATAACTGGTATGTCTGAAGTTTCCGACATAAACCTTGAATCAGCAAAAGTTGCGTGAGTTGGGCAATCAACGCCTGGAACTAATGTCTGAATGCTGTTTCCAATCAAACCGACACTGTCAAAGAAATTGGCAAATCTACCAATAGGTCCCGAAGACGAATAGAAAACTGTCATCTCTGAAAGACCTAACTGATAAACGATCATTTCGTTTTTGAATTTTATTTGGAAAAGTTGAGGACCATGAGTAGGAGAAACTCCAAACTGAAAGTCCCAGTTCATGTAGTGAACTGACTGGCCTTTGATTGAGTAGCGTTTCCCGTCTGGTTCAACTTGAGTTGGAGGTCTTTGTGGATGTGGAGGAAACACTTGAGATGGAAGTGGATCAGAGGGGAAACTCACATGAAGTTTATTCACCATTCCTCTTTGCCAAGCCTTTCTAAATGATTGAAGCGAATCAAACAGTTGGCCATTGTACCAGACATCTGCAGTCTGTGGTGTAGCTGTCCCGTTCATCGTGACAAGAACAACAAAATCAACAGGATTTAGGGTACTGGGGCGTCGTCTTTGAAGAAAAGGAAGCCAGAAACCTCGAAAACCTTCATCTCGAACTCCCGAAGTTATTGCAGCATAAGGAACCCCTATTTCAAACCCAAGACACCTGTTTCCACAATTCACTAATGAACCCTCAAAACTCTCAAACAAAATATCCCCTGCTAGCCTATTAGTCTCTTCAATGAGAACTTCAATAGCAGCTGACGTTTCTGGATTTGTGGATGGTCTGAAGGAAAATGGGATATATCTAGGTATTCCACAAAATCCTGGTCGTGGAGCTAGCTGCACACAGTACTCTGCAACAACAGGATTCACTTTTCCACCATGAAATACAGTGACTAATGCTTTTCGTTTCAATTGTCTGTGAGGATTACTTTCAATGTCCTTCTTTTCAGGAAGAATTAATTCCATTGTGTAAATGTAGTTTGAAGACAAAGTTGCCTCACTCTGCATTGTCAAATTTAAACTTCTTTGTGCAAACATGAAATTAAAAATTGCTCTAATTTCTTGACTTGTCAGATCATGAAAAGATGGCGGGTCTTCAGGTTCACAGAGATCAATGGAGTCTTTAAATGGCAGCTCACGACATTTTGGACAACTATTTTGTTTCTTTGCATCTTTAGTGGGGACTGAAAGAAAAAGGGAAATAAGATAAAGAAGATAATAAGAAATAAGATAAAATTTATTCATGTAAATCGAAGTAATTGTCATTGATTAAATAATAATTAATCAATTGGGTTCATTAGGTACAATCGCCTCATTCCCAACATTATCTATGTTTTCTTTCCGTTTTTTTCCTCAGTCTATTTTCTTTTTTTTGTAGAAATTTTGAATTATTGCAAGAAATATAAAAGTAAGTTATCTCAATTCATTATTTAGGATTGAAGTAGCAGTAAATTCATTCAACTTGTTCGTTTTTCTTTTACGTTTTTTTTTTCTTTTTAGTTATTTAAGGCTTTATAATATTAGAAAATGCAATTTGAAATGATAATAAATAATCATGCAACTTAATTCCACAATTTTGCAGTGTTGATTAATTTACTGACTTAAAAGGATCTGTAATATATTAATAGCACAAGCACTTTAAATAAGGAACTAATTACAATCATGTATCATCCTGCAAACCAAACAGGTTTCTTGAAATGCACTAATTAGCATTCAAAATTCACATATGTATACTGCACATCGATTAATCACGTCTTATTATGTTCTAAAATGATTACTTGCCTGTTTAAATCGCAGATATATCACAATCTTAACAAAGAGTCACAATTGTCTCAATTTTTTCTGACAATAAGAATTATGTTTATCGAAGTAATTGTCATTGATTAAATAAATATCAATTAATGAGGTTTATTTGCTTTTTTCTGTTGCATTTTCAGTATTACTTTCCATCTAATGAAGGATTTAAAAGAAAAGGAAAATAAAATACAAGCTTTTACCAAAGCGTCCTAAATGTTTAAATCTCTTTGAGATTGATCCAAGAACTTTATTCAAGCTCATCAGATTATTTCTCATTTTATCATTCAGATTATTTGTTTTATAATTTCAAAGAGCAAATGTGCTCTTTAATTGTGCTTCTAATTATAAATAACAAACTATCATGTGTATGTGTTGATATACACATACACACGAGTGGCACTGACATTCTCATTATTGTTACCTTTATTTTATTCAGTGTACCTTGTCAAAAGGAAACGGGAAAAACATTATACAAGGGTCGATTAAAATTCTATTCTAAGCGCGCTGTTTGCATGAAACTGATAAAACAGTTGCAGTTAACAACTCTATACATTTTCAAGTGAATATGTAGATTCCAATGCGCTGTATAGAAGGAACAGGTATATTATTAGGATGAAATTTAATTCTACACCAGTAGTTGGGCTAATATATAACATATTCATCTAGATCTCTCCTTTACAACAATAACCGGGCTGAAATCTCTAATATTTCTCGGGCACTTAACGTTACATCAGTAGCCGGGATATCATATTATATATTCAGTCCAAACTTACCCTACAGCACAAGTCGGGCTGATTTATAATGTATTCATCAGAAACTTAGTCTCACAATATAAGCCGGGCTGATATATGGTATATTCATCAGAAACTCACCCTAACAATACATAATTAATTGATCAGAAACTCACCCTAACAATACATAATTAATTCACCAGAAACTCACCTTAACAATACATAATTAATTCACCAGAGCTTTACCCTTACAGCAGTAGCCTGGCTAATTGTGAAATTCTTGTAAACAGCTGTATCCTCTAGGGCAGCTTTTGAGGTATTTATGACATAATGTTGGAATCCCTTTATCCGCCCCATGTAGTCCATACTTACATTTGGGATGATATGGGGCAATATGATGTTGGTGTTAAATATAAAGGTATCAATATAATGCCCTGCAATATAGTCTATGCAGTATTCTTCAATAATTTCATGATAAACGTTACAATCGAGTTTATTCCATTGAATGCATTTGGCTGAATGTAACCATTTACTAACAAATGACTGTGTTTCTCATGCAGCTTCCAGTAAAGAAGTTTAAGTTTTATCACTAGGAAAAAAACATATTTAAATACATGAAGTTTTAAAAACAATATACAGAAAAAATACTAAAAAGCTCCCTCCTTATTTATGTTATGATGTCATGATACAGACCACTAAACAGCAAACTAAAATAAAACCGATCAGTTTTGTTGAGATTCCCAATTGTTCATGCGGCTTACTAGGAATTGTATCAGTCGTTCTGTGTTTTCAACAAATATTTTCAAATTAGAAAGGATTTATTTAGAAATCTCTTGTTTTACCGAGTGAAGTTTTATTGATTGTCACCGACCTCTGTAGGAAGATGAATCACAAAAACACAGACTAATGATATCAATCAAAGATATTTCATAATATTTATATCAAGGGAAGTTTTATTTATTATCACCTACATCTGGGGAGAAATGCAGACTCAAAGAATATTGATATCAGTCAATAATATTTCTTTGTTTTCAAGAATATGATGAGGAAAATATATCTGAGAAGATTGCGTCCAGATAATATTATTTGAAATGAATGCTTTTTATATTTCTTAAATGTGATAAAATGTTACGCTTACTGTAAGCTTACAACTTAATGTAGCTCGTTTATCATAGCACGAATTTCAATAGAAAACATGTCTGTAAATTCAGGTTTAGAATTTACAATATAATTATACCTTTGGAATTTTTTTTACACTTGATGACGTTATTTTGATGCAATATTACTGCAATGCAGTACAGTGTATTTTTACTTTTTTGCATTTTGCTTTAATGATGTCAAAATGTTGCTTTTGTTTGAACTGCTAAGGTACATAGGTTACCTTAAAGAATAAAGAAAAGGTTCATGGAAATAAATGCCCTACTTTCGTTAAGGACTACAGAGTTTCTGAAAGAAAACTTAGACATGCCTTATTTTAAATTTAATTTAAAATAAGGAGGACTAAAATAAAGGTGAAGATAACGAACAGTGATCTATCTTTAAAAAACTGTCATTCTAAAGTATTCTTACCTGATTTCTTGTTTTTGAAACCGCTGGTCCATGTGACAAGGAGCAAAATCGGAACTGACAGGAATATCTAAAATTGTCATTCTTTATTTTAATTCGTCAACAGTTGAAGTAAAATAGCAGAACATAATTTAGATATAAAGCGAGATATATACGTTAAATTTAAATTCTAATGCAACTGTTTTGTAAAATGCATTTCGATTGGCTAATGTACAGATGTTTGAGGCCGTTAAACGAGATTTAATAAAAGTGAGAGATTTTAATTGTGATAATAGAACGACAGAGAACACAAAGCTTCGTGTTTTTATGCAGTTAAATGGTGAATAAACTTGATAATTTATGTTTTCTTTACAAGTCTTAGAATTTTATTCGGAAGCACACTTCTCTTTAGAGTAAAGCTTATTCGTTCTGTGGTGTTTTGGAAAGCAACGAAATATTCAATTTACGTCGAATTCAGATAGCGCCACGTATCACGTTCTGTCTTTATAGCATGGTTGACGTTCAGCATCTTAAATCTTTGTAACGAAGTTTCAAATCTCACCGAATAAAGTTCAGATGTATTATGATTATATAGTAATGATAATTTAAAAAAGTCCTTGACACTTAACATTACCATAAGATAACATCATATCTACCTACAATGACACTATCTTCAATTATAGAATATATCGATTGACTTTTTACTTGGCTCATAAAGCGGAAAACATTACATACTACAACAATTTAATAACCATCTATTGTTTTAATTCTTTCTGAGCCCTAACTTTGCTAGGGATATTTTGAATATAATTACTAAATCAAAACGTATTTCAAGACATTTCAAGATGCTGACTATTGATATACAATGGCGATCACTCCATTAATGAATACTTGTTTAATACTTCTGTAAGCTTACAACTTGTCACTGAGTACGATGGATGGGGCAATAAACTTGTTTACCATTTATTGTTAAGGGGAACCTCGACAACCAAGTTCATTTTCAAACGAACTTTTAAAAACTACATTTTTTTTTACCAAAAATAAGGTGGATTCTTTCTGTTCAAAGGTTGATCATTTTATTTCTGAAAAAGGGAGATGTTAAAAAAGATCTGAGATTTTTATAAGTTTTTTTTTTTATTATTAACTTCCCTAATCCATGTGGAATAATAGCATTTTAACCTGCATGTGGAGTATACATCACCAAGTTGATTCGATACGTATTCGCAAATGCATGATCTACATACAATTTTTTTTTTCAACCGAGCCAGGTTACTGACAGCAAGTTGATGATTCAGTGTATCAAAAATCTCGTTCAAGGTCAACATTTCGAAAAAAAAAAAAATGGTGGATACAATGACATTGCCTGTCATTAGGTCGACTGTAACTTACGTTTTTTTTTTAAATCATTTTGTTCACAAAGGAGAAGAATTTTATACATTACATATTTTTTTTAAAAAAGTAGATACATTAAAATGCAGAGCTTTTATAGACTTTCCGTAGTTTAAATGATTTTTAATTTTGATAATCAATTCTTTATTTTACATGCAGTAATATTACTTATTAGTTATTTCCCGATCATGACAAGGAGCACAACAGGGCGGATGTGACCTGTCGGCAGGGGATGCTCACTCCTCCATGGCACCTGATCCAACCTCTGATGTTTGGGGGTCCGTGTTTGCTCTGCTCCTATTTTGTATTGTTTAATGGACTTCTGAGGTTGATTACTGTTCGTTATCTCCATATATTTCATATCAATTACATGTAACAGCAAATTTTTAGTGTCTTCAGCAAATAAAGTTTTTGGTGTTTTAACCTTCTTTAGATTTTCTTTATCTTTTCCGTTAAATTAAATATTTGAAATATATAAAGAATTGTTCATGTTCTTTATGTAATTTGCAATATAGGCATAAATTATAACCATATACATTTATATACAAAAATCAACGTACCGTCGAAAGATCCATTCCGCTATCTAGAAGGAAAATATAAATCAACATTAATAATTTCCTTAATTTTTATATTTTTTTCTTGTGAACGAAAAAGATTAAGTGGAACAAAAAAATATATTGCTCAGGATTTGAACTTTGTCTCGT